TCAGGAAAAAAATTTTTTGCAGCTTGTGCATAGGGCGGGCTGGGCCGAGCCGAGTTTTTGTAACTGCCCAAAACACTGATAATTCTTCCTCAAAATGAGGAGCAGTAGTAGGTCTTCGAAAAAAGGGGATCTGTTTTTTGCCTCCTTCCGCTTAATCACGCAATTGAGCTGCCAAGAAAAAATCATTATCAATTTTATGTGTTTTTGCTGTACAGTGCTGTAGCAGTGCCATAGCGCTGCTACAGCCATCAAAAATGCATACTGTTGAGAGATCATCTGCGTGTGTGTGTGTGTGTGTGTATTCGGTAGCGAGTGCATTTTGTCACTTACTTTCATCTCAGGAACCAGGAAAGCTGGGAGACTGAAATTTTGGGTATATGTTCCTATCTCGTGTATCATCCTCCTGTTTTAAAATCTTCCCCCACACGCGCCTAGACCCCGCGTATGGACTCCCGAAAAAATATCCAAATTTTCCTTTGGCGGGAAACGATTTCGCGAAGCAAAGTACAAAGCTGAAAATTTACAGGGATATTTTGTGTGCATGTGCGAGCCACAGGTTTAAAATTCAGCTATCGCGCATGCTTGTGCAGCGCGTACGACCACGTCAAAGTTTGCACTTGGCACTGTCCTAACTCGAAAACTAGCAAGGAAGCAGTGGCTGAAATTTTGTCAGCATGTTTTTTGTCCATATTGAAAATCGTGTGCTTCAAATGAGTGCCGATTTGCACTTGCGTCACAACTTACGATACTTCAAAGATATTTGTAGCGAAGTGGATATTTCGCTTACCGGATAAGCTGCGAACCTGAAAATTTCCTGAGATATTCTATTTTCATATGCGACCTTAATTCTGCTTTGAGGTGAAATTTCCTACACGTAGCCGTGAGAAATACTCAACTTTACCAAAAAAACAAAAAACGAGTGCATTTTGCAGCGAACGACCGCCCTCATCCAAATATGTAAGTGGACATTCAGTTCATTTGTGTACTTGGATTTTTTGACAAACGACCGCTCTAGCAATATCTTCGCATTTAGTGGACTGGAAATTTGATTTTTTGAAAAAATTTATATTTTTCGTTTTTTCGAAAAGCGAACATTTACTGAAAAAACGACCAGACCTCATGCAAAAAACTGGTAATCATGTACCTGGAGGTCCATGTAGCCCTATAATGCAGCACCTTTATCCCAAACGACACCCTTTCTTCCGCATGCCGGAAGGAGCCAAAGCACAGCCAATATGAGCCCAAGTAATAGGCTACGATGCCAAGGATCATATTAGTGACCTGCGAGTTTAGTGCAAAAACGCATGATTGCAGCGACAAACCTGGTGCGTTCCAGCCTAGGTTATGAGAAGGTTATCAATTTTCGCGCCGAAATTTTTACGTGCGAGGCTTATACATACGAGACATTTGTTATTATGTCCCCGGGGGTCACACTTGGCCAGGGAGAGCAATTGCAAAATTTCAGCACCACAGCTTGCGTGGTTGCTGAGTAGATGCCCAAGCACACGAACGCATATACAGGCACACAAGCATACACACACACACACACACACACACACACAC